TTAATTTTCTTTTAGACAACATCGGTTTTTGAAATTTAATTCGGAAATTTGTTGCCAAACAAAACGGATATTTTGAATCCACTCACCACTATTATTTACCAAAGTTTAACTATTATCCATGCGGACAATTTGTCCTTGTGGCCCTGAATTAGAGTGAGGTGCATAAAAGATTGTGTTTGCTTAAACTGAAAAGAACACATATACTGGAATTTGTATCCTTGTGTTGTGGAGTCATTTCGTTGTTCTCGTGTACTAAAATGTTAGAGTTTGAAAGTGTAGTTTCAAAATGCTCATATGTAAACCAGAATTAATTTCCTGGACTGAAATTCGGACTTAATATCTCTTAGGCCTACAAAAATACTTCAATTTGCGACAGATCAACACATCTTGGAAATTCCTAGTTTTTGAGTAAAATCCATATATCTATTTCGTGATAACCTTGCGGAGACGTATTCACCTATAGAAATTGTCCTGTGGAGACGTGTACAATCTTTTGTTCCCTATTATGCACATGTCTCCACAGGGTACCGTGTACCAGATCATGGGTGAGATGACTTGATTGAAACCTTCCTCTTTCTTTGCGAGTGGTTACTAAGAAAGTTTCATGACATTGCAAAGACAGCTGTTTACAAGAGTACAAGAAATCTTGAGCTCATAAAGTAATAATTAGGGCAATGATTCTGAACACACAAAATCGTTGAAAGCATGTTATATGACATCGTTCTGTGAATAAGATCCTGCTCAATATTACATTCCAAAAATACCCAAAAGGTAACAAATTAATAAAGAGGTGTGTCGTGTTCGTGTTTTTAAACTTCGTTTACTTTCTGATAAATGTTGTTTCAGATATTGTTACCCAGCCCAAACTATGGGTTCCTGTATCTGGTACATTGTTACTTATGTGTCAATGCATAACGCACTTGTTCAAATCCCCATACCTCACATATTCCTCCCATGCAGAGTAAATAACACATCAGTCCCGTTAACGTTTAAGGTGAATTTACATTAGGCCGCTATACTAAAATCTATGCACGGATGTAAATCACGGCCGGCCAACTAATGGAAGGCCTGTCAGCACCGATTTGGCCGGCGCAGATCGCGCGGCACCACTGCGCGGCCTCGCCTTTGAGTCCGCTACCAGTAAATTTTCCCCCGGTCGGGTCCTGACGGGTAAGCTGTCAGAGGCGGCCAGGATTTATGTGCGATGGGGGCGCGGAGTCTACCCCGACCCGACCGACTCGCCGCGGCACCCGGGAAGAAAACTGGAGCCGCCAGTGACGGGTTGGGACAGTGGGTTTGGTGCGAGGTGAAGAGAAAGATGCAGACAGAACTCCGCGCAAACAGTAGACATGGTAGAAGAGAGAGAGGGGGGGGGTGTTAAACAATGGACTTCTCTTCAAACAAACATGCCTTGCCACTTGGCTTCCCGTGGGTCTTGCCTGCACTACCCTCTCAGCCCATAAATCCTGCAAGTTGCGGCTTCCCTGCTTTTTATCCGAAATTCCTGTACATCGAAAAAACAAAGATGCCTCGTCTCAAGGGAGGCGTATCCGCAGTCTCGTGCACTGCCGTGGTAACCCACTAAACACCAAATATTTTCGAAAACCCTCATCCACTGAATCCACTGTCAATGAAATTGTAACAAAATTTCAAACTATGGATGCCATAATTTGTTGTTTTGAATCTTGTCAGTGTGACACATGAAAATCCTCCAACTTTTCAGAGCTGTTCAAATCAAGCCGAAGTTAAGCTTTGATTTACCGAGCGTCAATCCGTAAACATTACCTATCTGACACCGCTAGAGACAGGGTTGCCTTGTTTGGCGGCCCCTTTCAAAGGGATCTGAACCATCGCCACAGGTCAACGACACACTCCAAAAACTGAGCGGATGAGTTAAGCAAATAGAATCAGCTGATAAATTTCCGATTAGGGCGACCTCGATAACTCTAGCAATTCATCAGCACCAGTGCCATACTACCAGTGATACAGCACCGAGTATACTTTGGCATACACACTTTGCAACCGAGAAGTAAACGCGAGTTCAGTGTAACCGACTCTATCACTGCGCAAGTGCGGCGTAAAAATGTCAGGAAGAACATTATGTTGTAAATATGTTAGCTTTACTGTCAACGGAGCCATTTTTTCTCGGTATGACTGGTACGGACTGGTTAACAAGTCAGGTTTTCTGATGGTCAATGAACGATGCATGATGGATTATACGGCATCAAACAGTATTCCGTGTTGCGAAGTTTTCATCAACAATGTTTCACCTCCAGCGCGCGTTCTGCAATTACTTTGAGAGCTCTACGTATAGCATTCTTCCAAGTTTGTTTTTAGAATTTTCAAACAGTGCCATCTGCTCCCATGATTAGCGTGGCTCTTAAAGGCAACATCGACACCAAGGCGACAAAGATTACATAACTCATTGCCAGTGTGCTATCATGTTTCTTCTGTATACCATATTTACTTTCATTCATGGCTGAGCATCAGAACGCCATTTTGGCATTGATAAACAGGGCCACTTTCATGTTGCCATGTACTTTTTGCAGGAATGTCTGTACCATTGGAACTACCTGTGTGTTATGCCAAGATTGTGGCCCACAGTGAAGGCATGATCTCTAGAAACCTCGCAAGAGACACTTGTGTCGTAAAGTGTCTGGTATATTCTCACGTGCATGTACATGTAGTTAATAATAATATAGCAATATTCAATTAGTCATAAGTTTGTCTAGTTTTTGTCTTTGTCTTCTGGGATCTCGGGTTCCCAAGCCCACCACACGTCTTTCCCTGCCCATCCATGTAACCCCGAGGTTCAGCAGCATGAAAGGCAGGAGACAAGACTGCCAGCAACCTAAGCCCTGATGGCATCCGAGAGGCCAGTCAATGCCTTGAAGCTATGCGAAGATTATTCCTGAACTTCGCGTACAGTCCCAGCAGAATATCGATCACGCCAAGACACCATTGATATTTTATTATGGTAATAATTCGAACCCGCATCCACGAGATTCATAGACAAACAACCTATCCACTCATTTGGTGACCTTACATTCTTGGCAAAACTAATTGGTATAAATAAGGCTAAGACATAATGACGCCATGTGCTAATCGCTTTCATTTTAAATAGGGAGTCAGGTGGGGACAAAATTATAGTTTGCGCGGTAACTTTGGTTTGGCTCCACCGACGAAATGAAGCGGTGGTGTACGTGTAACTGGGAATGAATTTACAGCAGTCACCGGGGGGCTCATTTTCTGGAGGTTCAATGTGAATAATGAAAAGGTCTTATTTTACCCTTTCTCCAACTTTGGAGCAGGGGTAAAAGGGGGTAATGATCAGGGGGCCTGGGGGCGTCCCTCCATTTCTTCCTCCTCCCCTCCCCCAGTGACACTACCGCCAAAAATGACCAAAAGATGCGTAATAAATCTAAACCTTAACACTTATAGCTTTTAAGACTACATTTTGCAGAAAAAAAAAAATGGAGACACCATGACCACAAACTAGTCACAGGTACATCGTCTCAGTCATCCCGTTCCTTTTTGTTTTACACTTGCAAAGCCCTTTACACTGTCACAATAAACATGTGCGATTCCTCCTGAAAGGGCACAGAAAATTATTGTCTAAAAAATGTCGAAGATGTGTAGGCTTACATGCTGCGCTCTGGAACATCTCAACCACCGCAATGACATTATTATGGCGACCCAGGGTTTTCTACATATTGGGACAGGTGCAGGAGGTATGCAGCCGATCCGATTTCTTCCCAACCATCGCCAACAAGTCCATAAATCAGTTACTAGACCGAGGACGGGGGGATGCGAAAAAAATACATAAAGCAAGCCGCACCGCGCGCGGCGCGGCCTGTACTGCCGCCGTGCCAAGCAGCCAGAACGCGGGCGCCTCGGAGCTTTAACCCCGGTCGAATAGCGGAGTGTCGGTGACCCGTTTGCGTGACCATGGCAGGGAATGGTGCACCACGGCTGGTATCACTTGGGAAATTAAGTGTGAAATCAGGTCCTAGACTCATCTCGTATCCGTTTACGGCGGAACATACATCAGAAATGAAAATCATTCGTTAGCGAAAACATAAACTATTATTGTTTTTATACTGACTTTTCTGAGCAAGCTATGACAGCGAGAGCCATAATTATGGCTGCTATGAAGTACTGGGATATTTTCAGAAGCTGTTTGAATGTAATTTTCCCGGGCTGAGACTACAGAGGGCGCACTCACTCGCGGCCGGTACGGCTACAACATCGTTCTGCGCTGATGTTGCCCAAAAAGCTTGAGAAGGGATGACTTTTAGACAAAGAATTAGACAGTATATCTAAGAACCCATGAAAGAAGGTGACGTGGCGTGGTCTTCTGCATCAGAAGCTACCACCACTACTACTACTACTATGGGGAACAGGTTTCGAATGAAAGTTTTGAAATGATCATTGAATTCTGGACCATTACATTCACGTATAAAGCGCCCCCTTGCTCTCGTCACAGGTACGCCCTTGTATAGAGTTTCCTTTTCCGAAGTAGTTCGTTTTGGGCTGAACATTGTTTTCAAGTGAAATGTATAAGGTTGAAGAGAAAGAAATGGCAGTTACGAATCCTTGCTGTTTTTGTTTAAGGACAGCCATTTTAATATCCAGTTTAGTATATTTATTAATTTAACTTTTTTTCTAGAAATGGATTTTTTTCAATGGACAGTGTAATAAATTACCATTAAGCCATACCCCGAACCACTCTGTTCGTGCTATCCCCTAGGGTTATTGAATAAGCTAATATAAATCATAGACATGTTTTGTGTATGCTTCCAGAGCTGTTCAGTGAATTTTATAAAAAGAGTTTTTTTCCTTTTTTTCAAGGCTGGAGGTGTTTGCTTTTTTCTTAAGTCATCAAAAGACCAGTTTAGGAGTCTTAAAACATAATTTCTAAATTGGGAGATAATTTCAAAGACTATTCCAAGCTTCCATATAGGAAAACAATCACCATAGAAAACAAAAGAGCAAACAAATTAAGGAATTTCATTCCATAAGACTATTTTATTCTATCGGCAAACCTTTCTCTACATGTTTATCGACTTAACGCATATACACTTACAAAGACATACAGTTCTTTACGTACAAAATGTACACGGTATTTACATTGTACATCGAGAAACAAAAGTAAAAGAACAAACGAATTATCAGTAACAGCTAAGTCTACTTTTCAATGAAATAAAATGAATACATCAACAGATATATAGTTAGAGAGACTACCCATGTTTAGTCAATGCAAAAGATAAGGTAACCCTTGAAATATTTTTTTCAAAAAACCCAAAAAACACCTCCTTGCTTTCGACGATTTGATCCATTTTGGCCGCTTACCAAATGTTAGCGTTAATTCACTTCTCATTGTTTTGAAAAAAAAAAACAACGGGTGACTTTTTGTTTACACAAATGCGAAACATTCTTGTGTGGGCTCATCAATTAATTTCCAGTCACAGACAAAGAAGACAGAAACCTTTACAGAAAAGGTCAGGAAAATATTTCAAGAGCCGAAGGAAATAACTAATATTAATATTCATAATAAGAAATGCCCCACAAAAACCAGACGAAATTCCGAAATATTGTTGGCTGGTTAGGACATTTTTTCTTGTCAATTTTATTTTTCATAAACGAAGCTGAACCACAGACCTTTGGATATTGAGAAAACCGAGTCCCACTGGGTGTGCAAAGAAAGTATGTCTGTTGGAACACCATTTGAGAATGTTGTTTCTTGCTTTATAGTTTGGTTTCCATTTCTCTTTCTTGACAAACCATTTTTTGGAGCATCGCGACGGGCAAGTTGCGTGCTGCACTGCTCCCCGTCACATGAAATACTTCAAGTGGTGGCGCTATAGTCTTTCCTTAAACCTTTAGTCCAACTATTATGCGAAAATGTTTAAGCACCTTGAGCACCTTTTAACCGTTTAAGCACCTTTCATTAGACTGCAACCTTGTTCACATTCAATGGTGTTCATGTGCATGCAAAGATCTATTAGATGCATTAATGCGTCTCGTGCAATAATATCAGAATTAGAAGAAAGAAAAGCAAAAATACAAAATTCAAAACCAAACAATACTGATTCCCACTGCAAATAGCGAGAATACCGAACCCGACCAACTTGAACCCCGAGGCCCGACCGACGGGGTAATTTACATAGTTTCCCCAAGTCATAAATGTGTCAGCCGCAGTTTGTACTCGATATTTCACTATTCGGATTTGGGCCAGCGTGGAATTAACTTGTGTATTCGGCGCATGATTGCGTGAGGCAGGTGGTTGATTCCCGCCGAAAGGCCACAAAAAGGCTCCCAATACACTGATATGTAGGTTAGGAACAAATAGGGCGCCCTCACTTAACAACATTTGGTCAATCGCATCAAGATCTGACCTACTTCTGGTAAAGCAGGCTGATTTTACGTCTACATTCCTCCACTAAAATGTAGATACAAGACCATAACGAAAGATAGTTCACTGACAAATTCAAAGAGACAGCAACAATAAAACTGACATGAATGTAGGTTCTCTTACAATGGCATTTCCGATTGTCTGCATCGCTCTATCGATTACTTTATGACACAAGAAGTCAGAATTTTAGACAACTCGGTCGCTTTAAACAGCGCCCCCATGAGAATTCAAATTTGACTACCTGTTAAAAGAAAATCAAAAGAAGCAAAACATTGCTGGAAAGGAAGGTTTGTGATCAAATCTACAGCATCATCGTTACAGCCTTTGAATTTAATTCATTTTTTACGCTTGGAAAAGGTACAAGTAGTGAGCACCAATATTTTTTTCATTTATGCGCATATGAATGAATACAATACAATTATTATATAGCCCGTTGTCCGAAACTTAAATCAAAAAGTCCTGGTCGTGAGTTTGAAAAAAAATTGGTCATTTTTGTTTATAATTGAGTCACGAAGCCAGCGTTACTTGGCAAAGTTTTCATTCGCAACGCATTTTTTTTTTGAATTCATCACCGTATTTTAGAATGTTGTTTGTAGCTCAGTTCAAATCATGTTTCACCGCTGAGGGCAGTATTCTGTGTAACCACCACTCCCCCCGTTACACATGCATACGTATACTAAGTTTGTTAACCTACAAAATTTGAACCACGACAATACTTATATTTATCATTCGTACCAGGAGATTACTGTTTTTCTTTTATATTTACATGAACTGATTTCGCCATAACTGGTGCTTTGGTGAAGATAAATACATGTATACACATTATGAACATCAATCGACAAATGAAAACAGCACAGTTTTTAATTCGTGGTCTATCTCGAAGTTTGCACCATGAAATTCACCAAAAAGCAAAATGCTCATCATTCCAGAGGATGTACAATTGTACGTTTTACCTGTACTCTTAGCACTGTGGAAACCCCCCCCCCCCCCTCCCCGCGAAGGCTCAGACAAACGGTTCCGTAGTCGGGATCCATGTTTGCAAAACGGTGCTTTCTCTTCCCTCTTATCCCAGGAGCTAGACCAAACCTCACTCTGAGGGCCATAGACGTCACTCCATCAATATAAATAAGAAAATCAGTCCTTTTTTTGTTATCCCATCTTGATGTTTTCGTCTTAAAACCACCTCACATCCAGTCATTTGCGGTGCATATAATAGTCACGCACAAGTTACACTGATGACACTAATACTTAACACGAGATCGAGACAGACGGAGTTATCCCCCGAAGTACTGCTGTGCTGTCAGACAGTCCGTAACCAAACACATTATCACGCTGGCTGAGTAAGTTGAGAGTATCCACGTACAACAGTTGTGGTATTAAATTCGGGGATGTTCCTTCTTCACATCTGTTTATCTTTAACGTACCCTGGGGTGTGTGTTTGTGTAGGGCGCCACCTATCAGCAGCTCAGAATCTGGGCGCGGTGCATTTTCTTCATCTTCATCCGCCGGTTTTGGAACCATATCTTGACCTGTCTCTCCGTCAGGTTCAGCATCCTGGCAATGTCCACCCGCCGGTCCCGGGTCAGGTACATGTTGAAGAGGAACTCTTTCTCTAACTCCAGCGTCTGATACTTGGTGTAAGGACAGCGTTTCTTGCGGCCTGAGGTCGCCGAGAGCCAGCTGGGTGTGCCATCCGTCTTCGTCGTGTCGTCGTCTGCAACGGAAAGATAGAAAAATAACAATTACAAGTTAAAGCGTTAAAAATATAGGTGATGTTATAGGAAAATTAGGTTTCCAATTTTATTTCGATGTCATTTGCAGTCCTTGTCATCCGTCACTTCTATAATGCTGAACGATAACTAAATTAATACCAAACACTTATATGACTTATATATTTAAATATTTGATTGTGTTCTCTTTCTGTTTGAGTAAACAGACATCTTTCCTCCCTTCATGGCATCGACACGTAACTTCACAAGTCAGTGCATTTTCACCTTATCAGCAGCCTTCTACCGCGACGCGATCGAAGCGAAGCCTTCTACTTTATATTTTATTACGTTTTAGTTTATTTGTTTTAATTCTTTCTAGTACACAAACGAAGGACTCTTCAAAAGTGCAAAAGCTTTGCATCTCAGAAGCATGAAGAGGAAAAACGATGAAGAAAAACACTTCAAAACCGGACTGAAAACCAATCCACATCAATGATGGACCTTGCACTTCACTAAGTCCCGTTTCAGATTTGATCCGGAATCGGGATTCTCTTCGGCCTGATACTATTCCGGGGCAAAACGACACTTTTCCTGGTCAAAAAGTGCACTTTTCCTGGTCTAAATGACACTGCTCTGGATCATCTTCTGGGTCATTTTGGCCCTAAAACCTTGGCAAAAGACACCTGATAATGTACGTACTTTGTTTGGAAATATCCACTTGGAAAGGTCACAAACTCAGCTTCATAAATGAACTGCCCTTGACATATAGCAGCATTGTGTGCAAGGTGTGGCCCCTTAGGTGAGAAACATACTCTCATTAAGCAACTCATATTCGTATATTTTACGTAATTAAGCTACTCTATCTCTTTCGTTTCTCGTGACACGGAGAAAGATGAACGAACAACCCGAAAATAACCCTTGTCAGCATTATTCTTATAGCATCTGGTATCGCAAATGTCCGTGAATCAGCCCTTTCAGACACACAAATCACTGGCGTATGTCGCCACTGATCAGTGTAAGCGCTCAAGACGATAGTCCATCCCGTCTTTTCCACCTCTCCCCTTGTTTCAAAAACAACCTCCCTCCGTGTCCCCCCATCAGGTCAAGGCCAAGATGTGTATACTCCCCGCATTCTCCAAGAAGTAACCGTCACTACGGCCAAACGACAAGAACAGATCGAGCTCTATTTGGCGGCATGCCATTGGAATCGTCGAAAAACAAAATACATAAATTTTCTCCCAACCAGACACTACTCTGGTATTAACGACAAAAACAAAAATATCAAATTGAAGTGACCGGAATTGTGAGGTCACCTTGAAGGCCGAAGACCGAATTGCTGGCAATGTTTGGTGATTCATTGCCATCTTGGTTTGTTTTGATTTTGTCCAGTGCAACCTCCTCAGGCTTCAATAAACATATACAACGATGACGAACTCCAAATTAATTGAGACGCGGCATGAGGTAGAAATAAAGATTGCAGCTACATGCAGCAACCATTTTAGGGTGTTTTTTAATCCAGAAGGTCTATCACTGAACAGAAATTTGCATGTGACGATCAAAAATAACAGCCATCTTGTATTTTTATTTCATATTTAAAACCGGTGTGAAACCGTCTGTTTGGTTTTAAAACAAGTGGAACTCATCTTGAAAAGTGAACAATTCGGGAACTATTCTTCTGAGGAGATATTTCCTACAAGGGCTTATGGGTGGGCTACTTATCAGTTGGGTTGTGTTTCCTCTGTTAAATGATATATGGCAAACGAGAATTCTGTTTTCCGGAATGAACTTCAGAGGTCTCAATCATAACGATCACGGACGACCGACATACTATATTTTTTACCGTGCATGCGCTGCCTCTCAATTCATTCCGTACTTTTCATTTGTTTTCAACGAATAAAGGTGAAATGAGGGCGTGGTTCAAGGCTGACTCTCTGGTCGGCGGCAGTGGTCAATAATGAACCTCTCATTAGAAATGCTCAAACTATTGACTGTCAGGAATAGACTGAGTCAGAAGCAAGATGCAGACTGATACCAAATCCAAGATAGTGTTATGCCATTGTTAATTCGAGTGGAATGCGCTCAATTGAGTAGAGGAAAGACTGGGCAAGTCTAATAAAGCTGGTACCAGACTAATATTGGCTAAGGGGTCGAGTCTGCAGTGACAGTCAGTCAGTGAGATAGGTACAAAGAGGACTAGGCAGGCCCTCTGGGACCAGCACAAATTGATTAAATGTAACGCAAAAAGTCTTGCCCACAATTCGAAATGACAAAACAAGACGGAATCATAACAATCATTATTCATTGGCAGGTTCAATCCCCACAGTGGTGTAATTAAGGGGACGGGACGGGCACGTCTTCCCCACTCGACACCTCTATGTCCCCACACCCGCTCAGAATGTGGGGAAGGCAAACGTTGTAGCTTTTTTGTTGTTAAAGGTAACTGCTACCATGTGCAAACATTCAACAATGAAACTGTAAAAATATCAGGAAATATCCTACTTGATTGTAAGTAGGCTAGATAGTAAGATCAGTCATCCTGTGAAATCACTGCGCCTAGTATGCTGTCATTTTCACGAAAAGAGGTATTCCCATCATTTCCTCGCGATGGTAAAGGCCAAACCATAGCACTGTCAACGGAAACCTATGCATAAATCATGGGCGTAAATCCCGGGGGAATGCTGAGGATTATCCTCCCCACTTTTTGAACGGGGGGCCATGGCCAAATTTGTGAAATCATTTTGAGAAACGGAGAACAAACAGCACATAAGCAGGTTAAGGGATGTATAGCGCGCAAGCTTGCATGACATGTACGTTTGTGTCATGCAAACGTGGTGTCCGACCCAACCCCCCCCCCCCCTCCCCTTAGAATTTCCACGACCGGGCAATTTTAGGATTTTGAGGTATGGGCAAGCCCCCCCCCCCCAACACACACACTCGCTGACACGAATTTACTTACGCAACTGGCATAAATGAAGATGCATTTTCACAATTTTCTCAAAAACGTGTGATTTCTACTGAGCTGAACATTTGACAGGCTGGTTTTTCAATAATCTGCTTCAATATGGTTGTATTGTTGTTCCTTAAATCGAAAAAAAATATTTTGCAGATGGTGTCAATTACCTTAAAAAATGAGTCGAGTGCCTCTCGACAGAAAACGAGTCCCTTCTAAATGCTCCACTGCAAATTGGACACAGTTACGCAGCTGAAAAACAATAATCTGACCATGACCTTACCGGAAAATCCTAAAACAAATCATAAAAGTCCAAGCAGTAATTTAGGTTTTTTTGTCATTGCTAGAGAATACTGCTGGCGCCTTGGGCACGCGTTTATGTCTTTTAAGTTTTTTTTATGAAAAAAAGGCAATTCACAGATTATCAGGTTAGAGAATTGAAGGGAAGCGAAAGTCCAGAATCGCACAACACGGCACGATACTACTGCCATTCCACGAACAGCAGTAAAACATTTGAACTAACTTGACAAAATCCTATCGGAATACAAAATTGATGGCTACCCGTCCCGTACATTGTATCTCCGTCCTATTTCTCACTGAGTTCTTCTCCCTTTTGGTCCATGATGAATTGCCGATTTCCAATAAGGGTCCTGCCGAGTATAAATAAACCGACTCTTAAAACAACCTCCCAAATTGTAATCACTCCCCGTGAAGTCAAATGTCTCTAAAATTCAGAGACGTTAGTGATGTTTCATCACCAACGTACATTCAAAGGGACCCTGTCTCCCTGACGATGCAACACACTTGTTTAATAACAATAGCACAATTTATGGTTGCATTTACATTGCAGTAATTACAACGATGATTGTCCAAAACTTTTACCGGTAACTTTAAAGCAAAAGTTAGTTTGTGAGGCGTTTGAACCTATCACCTATCTACTTATTTTTTCGAATGAACTTCTTAAGAAGTCTGTTAACGAACTACAATGTTCGGTCTTTTGTCTGCCGTCACATCAAGTAATTTTACAACATATGTAGATGAAATGAGGTCAGTTGAGGTCAAATATCTGTACAACCATTGCTCCTGTACACTACCAGGGTTTGGAAGTGTAACGTAAGGGCCAACTCCACCTCTGGCCCGATGTCAAAAAAGCTGCTTTATTTACCAATGTGCACAAATTTGCTGCCTAATTCTATCCATGCCGTGAATACCTGTGCCCCCCTTTACTGCCATTACTACCCGGCCGCATGCCGGCACTTCAGATCCTAGCATAAATCTACCAAGTGTTGAGTCCATGTTTAAAATATGCCTGCATCGCTTGCAAAAGCGCGTGGTCTACATCTTTCATGAAATCCGATAGGTCTCCCTGTTTTTTCATTCCGAATTTTTTCCCTACAAATTCAAGTTGAAGAACCTTTGACACCCTTCCACCGATAGATCTGTCAGTGTACACCGAGAGAGCCACGGGGACGGTCGTATTTCTTCAAAATTTGTAAATAATATTGATATTTTTCGGAGCTTTAATGAGTTTTTCGTTTTGATCTCTGTGTCAGGCGTCGCTCCAGGAATGAATCATGTCTCGGTTATGCTATCCAGACCGTCGGAAGGGCTTCAAAGTTACTTCAGGACGGTTTCACAACTTGAAAAACTGACCTGTGCAATTTCTGGAGCTTTGTATACCTGACCTTTCGCTTCTAAAGCAAATATCATACTTGAACTCATGCCAAACCTGCTCAAAATGAGATACTTTGCATGGTATCATTTTTAGCAATCAGCAGTCGGATAATTTATAGCAACGCAAATATACGCCAGTGACATTTTGTGACGTCCCGGTTAACGAAAGTTTGCCTGCCAACTTTCTCACGCAAGACAACAGAGGGCAGCCTCACCGTATTGATGAACTATGTAAGACCTCACTTACTTTGTTACGTAATGTATAAGGTCTTTCGACAATGTAAGTTGAGGAACAAAACAAAAACAACTTAAATGTTGGACAGAAAATATAATCTACAATTGGATCATTACACATAACTTCAGCTTGTCAACTATGAAACA